CACTAAAGACCATATTCCCTAAACAAATTTTACCAAAGCCCAGACCCTATATTCCCATACTTTCAACGGAAATTGTTTAGGAATGCTCAGCCTTCCTATTCCTGTAAAACATTTCCCTCGCCACTGAAGGCATTTCGCTATAGCCCAGACCCTTTCCCCTAAAGAACTTTTTCTAAAGCCCAGACGCTATTCCCATACTTTCAACGAATATTGGTAGTCAGGCAGCCTACTTCTTGAAAGTTTAGGCTGAAGCCTAATCCAAAACCTTATGTTCCCCGCGTCGCTGAAGGCATTTCACTAAAGCCCAGACCCTCTTCCCCTAGGACATTTTACTGAAGCCCAGACCCTTTTCCCATACATTCAACGAATATTGTTTAGGAATAGTCATGCTTCCTATTCCTGTAAACCCTGTAAATCATTGAAGATTTCGTCTGAAACCCAGCCTATAAACTTGCGTCTCCCTCGCCACTGAAGGCATTTCGCTAAAGCCCACCCTTTTCCCTAAAGAACCTTTTTCTAAAGCCAGACCCTATTCCCATACTTTCAACGTATATTGTTTAGAATTATCTTGCTTCTGTGCCTGCGGGGTGTATCCTTCATGTTTAGGCCCACTCCTGTGAACCCTAATTGTTAAACATTCTGGCTGAAGCCTTGTCCAAAACCTTGCACTAAGACCCGATTGTTTCAATGGTTTTTGTTCAGGAATAATCATGCTTCGGTGCCTGCGGGGTCTTAATGTTTCAGCCCTATCTAAACCTTTGTTCCTAAAGCCTAAATTGTTTAGGGTTTAGGGGTAGGGTTTCGGGTTTAAATTTTGAGGTCCAGGGTTATTCTTGGTTCTTGGTTCGGACCCGGTTTTACTTAAAACGTGTAATTTCCAAATATGCGTATCAGAGTTTTCTGTGCTCATATTTATGTAGGACTTCTTGAGCTATAGTAAGAAATATGAACTTAATACTTTGCTGTATAGCGAACAACAAACCAAGACAGCTGCCCTGAATCTGACTGCATGAAATGACTCAAGTTTGCCCCCCCCCCCCCCACCCCCAAGAACTCATGGCGATGAGTTTCTTCCTTACGGTGGTTTTGGGGGGCAATCCAACTCGGGGATTCTTGGTGCCCATGGTCTGGGCACCGTGTTAATTAACACGGGGCCCGTGCTAATTAACACGGCCGGAACCAAGAACCAAGAACCAAGATTCCCAGAAAAGTCTTTGGACGAGTCTTATTTCCCAGTGGATGGGGGCATGTTAATTAAAACGGGGCTTAATTAAAACGCATGGAACCAAGAACCAAGAACCAAGATTCCCAGAAAAGTCTTGGGATGAGTCTTGGTTCCTTGGGGAGGGGGGCGTTTTAATTAAAACGGACCCCGTTTTAATTAAAACGCCTGGAACCAAGAACCAAGAACCAAGATTCCCAGAAAAGTCTTGGGATGAATCTTGGTTCCTTGGGGGTGGGGGCATTTTAATTAAAACGGGCCCCGGTTTAATTAAAACGCCTGGAACCAAGAACCAAGAACCAAGATTCCCAGAAAAGTCTTGGGACGAATCTTGGTTCCCAGGACCTGGGTCCGTCAGGTTGAGGAGCCAGGCAATTCACACGGCCCTCTACCTCGGGAACCAAGATTCGTCCCAAGACTTTTCTGGGAATCTTGGTTCTTGGTTCTTGGTTCCAGGCGTTTTAATTAAACCGGGGCCCGTTTTAATTAAAATGCCCCCACCCCCAAGGAACCAAGATTCATCCCAAGACTTTTCCGGAAATCTTGGTTCTTGGTTCTTGGTTCCAGGCGTTTTAATTAACACGGGGCCCGTTTTAATTAAAACGCCCCCATCCCCAAGGAACCAAGATTCGTCCCAAGACTTTTCCGGAAATCTTGGTTCTTGGTTCTTGGTTCCAGGCGTTTTAATTAAAACGGGGTCCGTTTTAATTAAAACGCCCCCGAAAAAAAGTGGATTTTTTAACTGGTCTCTGATACTCAAACAACCAAATATCGAGCTTTATGTCTTTAAGGGTGGGTTCTGGGGGGGGGGGGTACCATATATATATATGTGTGTGTGTATATATATATGCATGTGTACACGTATTATGTGTGTGTGTATATATGTACAATAAATACACGTATTCATATAAGCATGAACATGACATGAGGATACATAATCTTCACAAGGCCCGCTTTGGCTGCAGCCGCTCTGGCCGCCGGCAGCGCGCCGGCACGGGTCCATGCGGGTTCTGTGGATGGTTGCCTTTGGCCGTTTATTCCCCAGTATTTCCATGTATTTCCATGCCACACTGTCGGCAACCAGCGACATCAGCGACTGTCTGAGGGTGGATAATCCAAATTGACGCTTCCTGTACATCCTTCAGTGGTCTTTGTCTTTCCCCGTGGACCCTTTTGCAGCTGTGAGGCCCTCGGTCCGAAAGCAGGAATTGAGCGCCGGCAAGTGGAGGCGAGCCCTATGAAACAAAACGTGCCATGACATGGCACGGTTATCTGCAGCGGGGCTTGTTCGTTCCTTTTCGCAAGACCTGAGGGCCATGCTGAGTGTGCGCAGGTCCAGCTCGCACTGACAAGCTTGCAAGGGATGGTGGGGCTGTCCCTTTGCGAGAGAAGGATTTGGCAAAGGTCCAGTCCTTGTTCAGGTTCGAGTTCAGAAAGCACTCAAGACTCAGGCATCGAAACTTTTGCAAAGCGCCCAAGAAACCGCCGAAACCTCAAAGCCCCAGAGAACCCCGAGAGTCCGGAGGCAGCCTTCGGGTCGAAGGTGGTCGCAGCCTTTGCAGTCTGTGCTCGGGTCACAAGTTCACACGATGCAGCGGCGTAACAGTAAAGTTGGTTTTGCTTTGCTGCGGTTTTGTTTATTGCGTTGCTGCGATGAAGAGGGTTGCTGTTGTTGCGCGGACAAGCCTATCGAACATCACCCGCAGACAGTAGCAGCTTCCAGGAAAAAGTGTGCATCCAGCAAAAAATGACACAAAGTCCAGGGTTGAACATTGTTGCAGCTCTTGCTGCTAGTTTTGCTTCGGCTGCTGCAGTTCCCACCTTGTGCTCCACCCTTCAAGTGTGCAGCGTCGCAGAGGGGATGCATTGATTTGCTTAGGGTGTTTGGGTGGCAAGTAGGCATACGTTCGGTAGGACAGTTTTTGTCACAGGGATATGCTCACGAGGCCTCCTTGCTGGTGGAGCTCCAACAGCTCGCTCGACCCTGAGAGAGTTAAAGCAGGACACCCAAGGTTCCACTGGCATGGCCCTCTCTGGCATTGCCAACACGAACATCCTATTCTTGAGGAGCAGAAGTAAAAAAGAACTCCACAATTTGCAAGCAGGGTTGCTTTCAGCAGCGGGACACTGTATCAGAAACATTCATCAGAACGTATTTGAGGCGGCAGGCCACAAGCAAACAGTACAGCAGCCGACAAACAAAGCTATGCCATTGCTCTGCACTGTAAGTCCCCATTGCCAGTTGGTTCGACCATATCGAAAGCACACGCCAAATCGCAAGATCATGCATCAAAAGCCGGCAGAAACAAGAGGAGAGGTTAAACAACGTAGGCGTGGGATTCATGCAGGGTTTCCTGATGCGTTGGTCTCGATGGCTACGCGAAAGAAGTATCGGTGCAGGAAGAAAAAGGCAACCCAGTAGTGACAACATGCTAGCAATACTTACGTAGCCCTTCACGTCTTCAGCATGGTGATATGAGCAATGACCGCTGCCGGTACAAAGCCCAACCTGCAACCCAAACCGGAACCGACAACAGGCCGCGATCGCCCGTACCTTCGAGGCCACCATCGGTAGTTGGTCGGCTCCACATGACTGATAAAATGAAGTGCTACATGTCAATTGCCGACTGCATGGAGCAGCTGGGATGGTGGAGTTTTGTACGTATGTGCGATAGCTAAGGTGCTCTGTGAGTTTGAAGGAGGGTTGCAACCGGATAGACAAAATCTGACGAAGAGCGAGGGGCGAACAGTCAACAGGAGCATAAGGGGCCTGCCCTTGGAACAGGCGTCAGCCGCATCAGCTCAAAGAAGGTTGAGAGCGTTCGTTGGCACTGTTCGGGCAATGTAATGTTATGAAATGAAATGAAATGAAATGCAATGTAAGAGAGAATTTTGTCCACGACGAGGGCCCGCTCGTGACCTCGCCGAAGGGGAAGAGAAGACAAGGAACAGGCTGTCAGGAAAAATGCTTGCATGTAATGTTATGTAATGCTATGTAATGTTATGTAATGTTATGCAATGTTATGCAATGTTATGCAATGTTATGTGATGTTATGTAATGCTATGTAATGTCATGTAATGTCACGTAATGTGTAAGGTTATGTAATGTTATGTCATGTTAAGTCATGGTCTTCAGCTTTCCGCCCTTCAAAGTGAGGTATGCACGGTTCTGTGATGTTCTGTGCAGGCGGAGGTCCAGGCATCGGGTGCACTGTCGCCTGGCCAGGCGATGTCTGGGGATTTGGGTGGTGAGGTTGGCCAGCGGCAGCTCGCTTGAATGACAAGCTGCACATTTCAAAGTCAGCTCAACGACTTCAGAAGTCAGCAGACTTATCAATTTATCGATGGAAGGGTTGGTTCGGCCACGACAGCCGAGCCACTCGCACTCATTGCATTTCAGAATTCAGAATGTCTAGTTCCTGTTTAATTCCTCTTTCTCAGACCATCAGCACGTTCTACAGTCCATGTCTGTCCAGGCAGATTTGGCGCAGACTCTCTTGACTGCACAGAGGACAGCTGGGGACAGTTAGGGACAGTTATCCCTTGTATCCACATCCACAGAGGCAGTCGAGGAAAGATGCTGGGTCCGCAACGATGTGTTGAACAGCAGTGCTGTCAGCAACATTCATGAATGCTTGTGCTGTCAGGCTAGGGCAGGCATGGTGCAGCACACATAAACAGGCGCGACATCAGGCACCGACGATCTTGGCTCAGGCCAAGGGAGTCGTGCCAGCAGAACTCTTTTCTTAGAAAAGAGAAAGGCCATGAGCCTTCAGCCATGGATGCCATCAAGGAGTGGCTGACGAAGCATGGCTATTCGGATTTGCTGGATTGGGCTTCGCATGAAGGCCTGGAAACGGTGGATGATTTAGCCTTCTTCTTTACTGACACGCATGTGCCGACATCAGAGCCGCTCAAGGCTGCTTGGGTACAGGCAAGAGAGTGCAGATCAGATGGTTATGTCATTGCAAAAGACTTGCTGCAAGTCGGTCACATAGCGTGCGGCCCACGGATGCGCAAGCCTCATGTGCGTGCTAAAGCGACGCAAGGTATGCTCAAACCACTCACTGTAAAGGTTGATTTCATTCAGCGCCAGTTGCAAGTAAACCGAGCCATTCAGTTGTCAATGTCCTGGGCGCCAGCATTTGGTGTCAAAGCTGGAGTGGTCGATGAAGCCATGTTGCAGCGACGTGTCAAGTCATTGTCTGCGCGTCTATTGGGATTTGAGCCGCGTACGGTGAAAGCTGCGCTAGCTGAGTGGCAACGATTGTGGAGCCATGTCCGCAGTCAAAATCCGCCCAGCGCAGCTCTTCAGTTCGGGGCTGGCGTCCCGGCAGTTCTTGTAGAAGATTACATCAACATCTCCTCCGAAGGAAAAGGGACATCTGTGCCGAAGGCATGCTACGATCGCTTGGCCTGGCTTGCCCGACACTTGCAAGCGCCTCTTGATATGGAAGCAGTTCCTGTGCCCCGCACTGTGCACCAGGCGGAGCTGCGCGATTCTGGGGAGCGAGGGCAGGCTGTGCCGCTGGAGCCTTTTATGGTGGGTTTCCTCTGCAGCCGTGCGCAAGAGGCCAGAACTCAGCAACTGGCATCAGCGTGCGTCTTGTCTGTGATGGTGGTCTTGGCGTTCATGCCGCTGCGATATCGACATGCTTTGCGCATGGTGCCGGTCAGTAGGGCTCCAAAGTGGGTCTGTTTCTGGGTTTTTCGTGGTAAAGGCAGAATCAATGGCATCAGGAAAGGATTCAGTTGGTTCGTGCCGAGATTGCCGGTGCTGGAAGAGTCATTGCGCTGCATCTGGGATGGATGGCACAGCACGCAAGCTTTGCCTTGCTACCAGGCAAGCCCGCCTGTTTTCATTTGCCACATTGATGGTCGCGCTGTGTCCCTGTCTCAGTTCAATGACATGGCGCAGCGACAGCTGGCAGATGTCTTGTGCGCGGATTCGCCGCCCGTGTCTTCGTACTCCTTCCGACGCTGCGCTCCCACAGCGCTAGATTGCCGCGGTGCCCCATGGCCTGAGCGCTTTGATGTGGGAGGGTGGCAGATGGACGAGGCGGCAATTCGCGATCGCAGGGCAACCAGAAATTCCATGCCTTTCCGCTATAGTGGCCAGCGCGAGGGGAACGAAGTGCAGAGCAAGGCGCTTCACGCTTTGACGTTCGCTGCTTCTTTGGAGGCGAACGTGTCGTCCTGGCAGGATTTTCGGGCTTGGTGGACACGTCAGCCAGCGGCCACGGTGCAGTCCTGGCAAGAGGAGGCAGCAACCTACGCGGACTTCTCTGCGAAGGCGGAGTTTGCAGCGCGGGCCCCAGGTCACCTGAAACACATGGAAAATCGAAGGTATGTGCCTCGCCAGCCTTCTTTGCAGCCATCGCGACCATGTGGGAAGCGTGTTTGATCCTCAGAGTTGGGTGTCAGCGGGCCGACGCGGCGCTCTCATGCATCTGTGCCGCGCGGATGCTGTGGGCCCTGTATGCTCATGGCGTCAGAAGCTGAAGAACGGCGTCTTCAAAGGAAAAGCTTTGAGGTTTGACTCCTTGTCTGAGGCGGTCAGTGCAGATCGTCCTTTTTGTACAGCTTGCGTTTTCTTGTTGCCAGAGCATCTAAAGAGCCAGGTGGTTTCAGCGCAAGAAATCAAGAAGCGTACTGAAGCGCGTGCTTGTTACCCATCCATGTCTGCGTCGCGCAAAGAGCGCCAGCGGTGTTTTTAGCCTTGAAGTTGCCGCAGTCAGGACTCCTTTTTTCTTGTAGCTTCGTAGTGGCCTTGTTCTTTGAGCAGCGCTCGCTCTCAGCCAGTAGCATGGCTCTGACAGTGGCAGACCTGCAACCCCCAGCACAGCCTGCGGATGACCCTTCCGAGCTCTTCAAGGAGCTGTGCCTCAAGTTCAATGTCAATGAAAAAGTCGGCGCCTTCTTAGTCAATGAGGGATGCCGTAGCCTTGAAGACTTTGCCAAGTTCGTCACGAATGACGATGAGGTTAGGGTCCATGTGATTGACAAAGTGCAGGATTTGTCGAACAAGGGCGTGCAAACGGCTAGAGTTCGCAAAGCCTGGGCGGCAGTAGTCGAAGCTGTCCAGAAAGCAGCTGACCAGAAGCGCAAAGGTCTCGAAACCCCTGAGCTGGAAGCTTTGTTGGGCACAGAAGAGCTTGAGTCTCTTCACGTTGCCTTTTGGGGGCGCTATCGGATGAGGTATCCGGCAGCTCGCACGCCGTCAGATTTGCTGGTGTCAAATCTCAATCGCCTTTTCAAAAGCAGACTCCTCACCATTCACAAAGTCCTCAAAGTCAAATCGTTGGCAGCACAGCTCAGCGGTGAAAAGAAGCGCACCAAGGTCACGGAGGGTGTGCACATTGTCCATGCTGAAACGGTAGAGGACCATGTCGAAGAAAATGTAGCCAATTTTTTGATCCAGCTGGAGATGCTGATGGTGGCTTTCGCTAAAGCAGGCACGTTTGCGCCGCCTGATGTCCCGACTTCTCCTGAAGATGTGCATTCTGACCCATGCAGCTATGTTTTTTGCCCGCTGGATGTTTGCATGGCGCATTTTCATAGGGTGCAGAAGTATGTCATGTCAATGCCCGTGAGCCGCTTGCCAGAAATCGTGACCAAAGAAGAGGAGGACAGGGCTCTCTGGTGTGAGCGGTTTCGGGGCAGCAAGCGCACGATCGGCGCCGTCATTCGAGAAGTCTACACTGAGAGGCAAGCAGTGTGGAGTTTGCCAAGCTCAGCTGACGTGCCACCTCCGCCTGCTGCGGAGCTTGAAAGCACCAGGAAGTCCAAGACTGTTTACTATGCTACTGCGCTGAAGGATGGCAAAGCCATCTGCCAGGATTGGAACCGTGGCCAGTGTGTCAAGTCGGGCCCTTGCCCCAAGAAGCAGCTGCACGTGTGCAATGTGCAGGTAGGTTCCCGGCAAGCGCGAGTCTGTGGCATGAGCAACCACCGTGGCATCAACTGCAAGCAGGCGGAAAGGGCCCGCAAGGCCTGATGGTGCCCAGGCGAGGGCGGGCCAGAGACTTCGCTTGGGGCCAGTCTGCAGTCTGGCAGTTGTGCCGCCGCGTTGCCACCAGCAGTCCAGCTGGAGTTTTGCCAGGAAGCCATTGTCAGTGGTTTCCGCTTCATGTTTCCGAGAGAAGCGCTGCATGGCTTTGCATTGCCCATGCTGCAAGATTTGTTCAACCATCCGTTTTTCACGTTGTTTCACCAATGGACTGCCGATCATCGAGTGGATGTCAACACAAGTCACCTAACAGCAACTGCCAAGGTTCAGCCAAGCTTGGGATTGCAGACAACAGTCCTGGCCCAAAAAGGTGCGTTGCCCAGCAAAGTTCTTCCTCACCAAAGCAAGGAAGCCCTATTCCGAGCATGCTGTAAAGCATCCCATGAGGAGAGGTTGCCGTTTGATGATTTGGCATGCTCTGCAGATTTTTCTTTTGCGGCGTGGTGTGCCATTCATTGCTTGCCGGTTTTGCGAGACCACCGCAAGTTAGGCCGCGACCTGCTGCAGGAATTGTCGCGCCGCTGCCAGCCCCTATCCCGCCATTTGCGAAAATTTTTGCATCCGTCAATCAACAGTGTGGCAGGGCACATCCGTGTTGGGCTTATTGCTGCCTTGATAATCCTCATGAAGTGGCCGGACAGGACTCTGCCTCTGGGATTTTTGCAAGGCTTTGCGTTGATTGGTCAGCTTGAGACGGTCAGCGTCTGGACAGCAGTTGATGAGGTTCCCGACATCGATGAGGCCACCTTGTGTGGCACAGGCCCAGCCGTGTTGCAGCAGTACGGCCGGAGACATTTTGACCAGGATGAGCTGCAATTCCTTTGGGCCAGTTGCCAGAAGGAAGTGGCCAATGGCAAAGCGGGCGCGCCTGTAACCGTGGAGTCGCTGGATGTGGAATATGGCAAAGACTCTTGGTCTGTAGTGCCTGCCTTTGTGCATACTCAGCCGGACGGGAAGCGCAGACGCATCGATGATGCTAAAGCTGGCATGCAAAATCTTGCCACGGCTTTTTCGGAACGTTTCAGTATGGTCTCTGCCATGATGCCTGCCGTGGCTGCTCGAGCGCTTGGAGCGTGGGCAGCGCGTGAAGGAGCAGTGACCATGTTGCAGAGCACCCGCCTTTTCACAGCTGCAGAAGATCTGCCGGAGGCGTACCGCGTTTTGCCAGTTCATCCTCGGCATCTCAGACACAACAACGTGGCTGTGCAACATCCCCAAACAAAAGAGGTTCATGTCTTTCCATGTTGGGCCTTGTTGTTTGGATTTGCCGCCAGCGTTTTTCAGTTTGAGAGATTTTCCTTTTTCTTGGAGGCGGCTGGGAGGCGAGTCCTGCATCTCATGGTGAGCCTCTACGTGGACGACAGCCATTTAGATGATTTGGAGTGTGCAGGAGGGCATGGGCAAGCTCTGTGGAAAGAGTTGGCCACTGAGTGCGGCCAGTCCTTTAAAGAAGCCAAGGCTCAAGACCTCGCGCTGCAAAACGATTTTTTGGGTATTTCTCATGACACCAGCGCTGCCTTCAGTTCATGGACTGTCTCCTTTCATGCCAAGCAGAGCCTTGTGGACAAAGCTGTTGGGTTGATTCGCGCAAGGATGGCTGCAGGCCGCACGACCCCTGCGCAGGCCTCCAAGATTCGAGGCGTTTGCGGCTTCATTGCCCTCGCGCAGTGGGGGCGTGTTGGTCGTGCTCCATTTGGCCCCTTGCGCCGCAGGCAGTACAGTGACAAGCATCCGTGGGACAATTCGCGGGAGCTGTGCAGGGCGTATAATTTGCTCCTGATGCTTTTGGAGTTCCATGTGCCTAGAACAGTCAAAGTAACAGCCAGTGCGCTTGGTTTCCTGGTTGTGGCCTCGGATGCGCAAGCTGATTCAAACCCTTCGGGCGGTGTGCTGATTTACGACCCTGTGACAGGTCACAAAGTGGGGGGGCACTTGCAATTTCAGCAGCAACTTCTGGAAGCTTGGGGGTATTCTCCTGCAGCGTTGCGGGCTGGAGCAAATCCCATAGCTTTGTGTGAGTGCTGCATGTTGCCAATTACCCTCATGAATTTTCGGAATATCTTCGCAGGAAGAGACGTTTTATGGCTGTGCGACAACACGACTGCACTCTATTCCATTGTCAAGGGCACAGCTAGGGGTCCGCAGCTGGATTGCATCGTTGCGGTGTTTCATTTTCTCTTGTATTTCCTCAACGTCCGATGCTGGCTCGAGTGGGTGGGCAGTAACAGCAATTATTCGGATGGAATCAGCAGAGAATTGGACAAGGATCCTTTCAGCACAGCTCATGGCTTCGAGCTTCGGCCGATGTGGTGCCCGCAATCCTTGTGGTTCCAACCCTTGCGGGTGATGTGGAAACGTTGTCAGCAGTTTGAAGTTAGTCACGTCTGAGGAGCATGCGGCACCAGCCGAACCGTGTGGACAGTCGAGCATCGTTGGCAGAAAAGTGTGAATACATCGGAGCAGCGTTGGGTGAGTCACACTCCTGATGCTATCATGTCTGTGTTCTATTATCAGCTGCCAACTTTTGCCTTAATTCTGCCAATGCGATTCAGTACGGCTTTGTTGGCCGCAGAAAAACCAAATCTGCATGCAGTCGCTGATATGTTTATGCTTGTGCTGTCAGGCTAGGGCAGGCATGGTGCAGCACACATAAACAGGCGCGACATCAGGCACCGACGATCTTGGCTCAGGCCAAGGGAGTCGTGCCAGCAGAACTCTTTTCTCCCTCCCTGGCCCACCCTGGTTTCTGACCGCATATGGGGGGGACGGCAGCTGTGCGCCGCAGGGGGATGCTAGTACGTTGAGACTGGATAGCGCAAGGGCGCGTAGGCATGTGCATGGGGTGAGTCACACTCCTGATGCTATCATGTCTGTGTTCTATTATCAGCTGCCAACTTTTGCCTTAATTCTGCCAATGCGATTCAGTACGGCTTTGTTGGCCGCAGAAAAACCAAATCTGCATGCAGTCGCTGATATGTTTATATCAGATTGCGTTGTCACATATGCTGAGATGACCAGGACGCAAAGTTCGTCGTCAGAAACATTGGTCATATACTTGGCCAAGAAGGCAAGCGGCCAGCTTCTTCTGCAGGGATGCAGCATCCTAATGTTGGGCAGCAGCTTCCGCAACACAGCTGCGACCTCAAAGGTCTCAACAGTGTAGTGTAGGAAGTCGACTTCATGTCCAGATTTACTGCCGACCCTGGACGCTGGATACAGAAAGGGCTCAGGCAGCACATATTTTCAGCATGCAACTGCGTGCAGGCAGCGCAGCTACGTCAGATGGCATTCCGCGTGGAAAGCCTGCAGCCTGACTCTGCAAGTTGTGTGAGATGTTCGAGAGCACGATGCGCTTCAAAAACAAGTCAGGTGGCTAAAACCTTGGGAGTGAGGAATGCTGATGCTTTACTCCCCCACCCCCTGAGCCTGAATGCTTCGAGTAGGCAATCGTTTCTTACCTTGGTCCTGGCGTCAGAATCTTTGTCGTCGTCAGCGTAGCTGCAAACAGCAGTATGACCGTAGCAGTAGCAGCAGAAGTTCTACTGTAGTCCTAATAGCAGCAGCAGCAATAGTACTACTACAAGTAGTAGCAGTACTAGCTGGAGTAGTAGCACACATGTTCCCGTGATTGATCCTAAACATCACTAAATTGCCGTGTTGGTGGCGGTCATTTTTTCTATTTATGATGACCACTGCCCATCCGCCATACCAGAAGGAATAGGACATCTACGAGGTTTAGGTCGGTGCAAACCGTCGGCTTTCAATCGTTGAGTCGCAGGCTCATCGCCGGCCGAATCCAAGCATCTTGCCTCTGCTGCCTTGGGTGTGGAGCTCAATTTGCCCAACAGGGTTTGAGAAAGGTGGGGTTTCACCATGCTTTTGAACATCGATTTGTGCCGTTTATGGTCTGTTCAGGTTGAGGACTTGTGGGCTTGAGGCAAGATATGGCAAGATGAAATTATGGCAAGAGTGGGTTCAAGGCTTTCGCTATGACCGCTCGGACTTGGGGCTTCAACTCGAAGCGAAGTTTGCCTGATGGACGAGAATCTTGAAGCTGCCCACGAAAGAACTGTAGCCATCTGAAGCCATCCTTAGCCTCAAAGGGACAGAAGTCTTCGGATCCTTGGCGAATCTCCTGGGCCTCGGAAGGACCCTTGATTCTGTCGTGGACATCGTTGTGTTCCAAGAGTTGGGGTTGGTGACTGATGAATGTGAGAGTGTGCACACACACACACACTGCGCTATAAAGTGCTGCCTAACCATCCAGCGCTTTATCGGTTCTAGCCCCAATCCACACCTGACACACTTCGACTTCATGCAGCCATATCCCCGTAGCCGCTTACTTATCCAAGGCTCATCGATCGGAGCCGAGCCCAGCGAGCTAAACATCACCCCTTGCAAAACCCCGCTGCCATGAAACTGAAAATCAACTCTCCAGCTCACTCATTTGCGTAGCCTTGAGCCGAGCTCGTGATTATGGCGTCCTTCATTGACACCGCGTTTACGCCACCCTGGTGCTGGCCTCATCTTCCCACCACGAGGAACACGGCCAATGCCGTGAAGTGCTGTCTGGCTGAAACGGGTGCATGTCTCAGGCTGTATGGAACCGTAGCTGCTTTCGTGCTCGTCGCGCCCGGGCCACAGATGTACTCGTCAGTCTTGGGAGAGACTGATTTTGCAATCAGCTTTTCCAGAGACAGCCAGAAACGGAAGTTTTACTGTCGTTTCTCTTCCACGCTTTTTGCGCTACCATTGTTTCAGAGTGATACTCGGCCCCTCTGTCAATTTCTCTCTCTCTCGCTCTCTCTCCCTCCGCCCCCCTCTTTCTATGTCTCTCTCTCCCTCCTCCCTATCCTCTGTCTCCATCTCCGATTGACAGCAAAGTTCCATCTTCGTTTCAAGGGGCACGCTTTTCGTGGCCATGAAGTTCGTGGGCCGCTTCCTTGCAGACCGGCAGCTGGCGAGAGTGCCTTGGTCTGGCAGCATCGGGTCAGCTCGCATCATGTCATTTACATCCCATCGACCCAGGTGCATCCGCCAAATGCTCGTAGGCTTTCCACGGAAGATTTCGAGGCCGGGGACTTTGACGAAAGCATTGGTGACTTGACCTGACCATGATTTGAAGGCGCTGTGCTGCCGAACTGGCCTGACACGCGCAGAAATCTCCCGTCTGCACCGTGGTTTTGCAGTGTGGTCAAAACTGAGAGCTGGTTTGTTGTGGGGTGGGCTTAGCTTCTTAGATGCCCAATGCAAATTTGAATCAGTCTTGAATCTATGACCAAGTTTGGGAGCTTGTGTGCGGCGGAGGGCATTGCGTGGTTTTCTCAACTTTGAATTTGCATGGCAAGGGTTTGCGGCAGACCGAGGTATGTGTCGTTTATGAAGATCACCGACGGCAAGTCGCACGAAGATGCCGCCCGCGCCTGAGACTGCTTTGGGTTCAACTGTATCTCCAAGAGAAGTAGCAGCCTGGGGTTTTGTCCCCAATGGCAAACACGAAGCTAAAGCCCATTTGGCAAACACGACGCTAAAGCCCATTTGACTAAGGTTTCTTCCCCCCCCCCCCCCCAAACGCTTATCGCAGGACAAGGTCATCGAGGAGCTGCCCTACTTCGAGGGCCCCTTGCAGGATCGAATGAGAGCTGCTCTGAGTCCAGGCTGAGAAGTACTTTACATGGGGGGTTTCCGAAAACAGTGGTGTACTAAACGGGGTAGGGAGATACCCACATGAAGCCTGCTGGGAGGGAAAGCTTCGGTCCACATATGCAACCTCTTGCACCTGCAATGCAGCAGCTTTAGTGTGTGTGTGGGAAGCTCTGAGGAAACTACCAGAGAAGGTCGACTTTGCATCCTGTTTGCACATCCGTTGGCTGCAGCATCCACCTCTCCAACATTCAGTGCGGAAGGAATCGTCATGGAAGGAATCGTCATGTGAAACGTCGCATTGTCCAAGATTTGATGGTAGTCACTTTTCTCCAGAGGTACACTGACATGTAAAACCTATTCAGATAAGTACTCCAAATTCAGATAAGTACTCCAATCCAGGTAATCCTTGCCACGGCGCTCAGCAGCTTGGCTTGCTGAGAGCAGGAAGGATGAATTGACCACTTGCATCGAGAGGTTCACCTTGGGCATGCTGTGTTGTGGCCCACTAGCTTTTTACAGGTCCTTCCTCGTTCTGTCTTGTTCGGGTCTGTGAGCCCTGCAAACATCTGCAAACCAAGCGAAGCTCTCACTCCGTGTTCATGATTTGTGCCGCCTCGGCCGAGGTGTTTTTAGTGAGCGCGCAGCGCTTGACGACAAGATGCGTGCTCCGGTGACCACTTCAGAATGTCTTTTCCGTGGAAGTGGGGATTCAGCATGCTGAGCTAACACAAGCTGCGTACAAAGCATCCCCCCCCCCCCCACCCCACCCATTGCTCATGAATCTCATGACATGACAAGGCTTCCTGTTCCGCATGTACAGCTCCGACTTGGGAAGTGTCAGCAAGCAGGCCCGGTGGCATCGCATCTTCAGATGGCAAACGGTGGGGAGGTGGAATCGTTTCCAACGGCCACAGGATCTTACAAACCTCATGGATGACGTTCTGCCAGAGCAACTTTGCTGAACGATTGTCGGATGCCGCTTTGCGCAGATGCTCGCAAACTGCATCAATCTGCCTAACCGTGCGGCCTGAAAGCTGCCAGAATGATAGTTTGTTGCTTGCGGTTGCAGTTCCAGATGGCTCATTAGTTATGAGCCTAAGGTTCCCCGACGATGACGAGAGAAACAGGCCGTATTCATGTCAAGTGGAAATATGGGATTTGTCGGGTAGCGCGCGCCGTCTCTTGCCGCACCCATGTCACCCATCCCACCCGAACCCCCAAAAACTTCACATCCCAGAACCCATAATAACCCATAATAACCCATAATAACCCATAAAGATGCTCGGCACTCGCAGGCTGATCGACCGCGCGGTCCAGGGCACCTTCGAAGAGTTCCTGGCTCCCATTTTAGCGGCTTTTAGCGTTTGAGGTCTTGGCTGCCAATGACGTCCATGGGCATCCTGCGATATCTTGCACATCATACTGGCCCTTTTTCTTATCTCGTCTATTCGTCCACGCATTATTATTATTATTGCAAGTGAACACGCGTGGTCTGCGTTCTGTCATCCAGTGCGCTCTGTACGACCCTGCTGCACGCGCTACTGGAAGCCCAGAAGCCTGAAACAACCTAAACGTACTCTAAGATGCTCCCGACCTTGTTGACCCTCGCCTTGTCCAGAGATTGCAGTGTTCGCAGGGGCACTCACTTAATTAGCCCAGAAGCACGTACACGCAATGCTTTGGCGGATCAGATTCAGATCCACTGTCCACTGTCGCTCGATGGTTGAAGCCAATCCACAAAGCTAGCCACTTTGGCCACCAAGGCTTTGTGGCAGCAACGAGAACCAGGCGTGCCCTTTGAAGTTTCGCGGGTCTTTGTATAGAGTTGAGAAGGGAAGCCGTCCTTGGATCAGGAGCTTGGCATGGAGCAGCCAGGAGCCTGGACAGCCTGGACATGACTTGGACGTCTTGCGACATCCTGCCTTTTAGACAGGCGTGGAGCTCTTGTGCATCCACACACTGTGAGAGTCCATTGCAAGGTTTCAGATGGCTGCTACACCACTCATCGGCCGCCTGGCGTGTGTCAGCATGCAGTAGCGCAGGGTCTTTGATTGCCAGTTGCCAGTCCTTCATGAATTTGCGTGCTTCACCCCCAAACGTGAAAGGTGAGCGATGCACCATCTTCTTCTGAGCTACTGCCAAAGGCAGTAGCAGGAAGCCAATTAATTAGGCAGTTATGGGCTTGCCGCAGGAACATCCCAGACGTGGGGCAAACCGGCGATCAAACAGCACCCACTCAGACCGTGTCTTTGCACGACAAGCTCGCTCGCAGCTCGCTCGCTTCAATCTTGCAGCCTTTTTGGTGCTTGTTTTTTGCAGGATCAAAGATGAGCTCGAGGATGCCGCGTTTGCAATCACGCATCCCAAGGCGCCATGAAAAGGGCAGTTTCTTTCTTTTGGGGGCCTGTGCTGGCGGGGGTTCTTTCGTTCAGTACAGTACTTGGTTCCCATAGAGTCAGGCATTTCGACAAATCATCCTCCTCGTGAGCAGACAGAGACTCTACACCACGCGAAAGTTGCCAGGAGCGGGCGGAATTGCGCACGCTGCTTGGCGAGCGGCAAGGTAAGCGCAAGAGTGCAGCAAGCAAACAGCGCTGTCGAAGCAAAGGGTGCATCAGTTAAACCCGTTCGAGTTGCAGCGCGCTTCACACCGAAACGCTCTGGATTCGCCTGGGCATATTTGTGCAGGTCTGCAGAGCTTCGGTGTTATAGAGCACTGCGCCAGGAGAGTTGCTGGTGAATACCGCCACGCGTGAACTCCAACAGGCCAAAGTCAGGTTGTCCGAATTCCCGAGTGCCACTGTTAGATAGTATGAATCAGGGTTTTGGGGGAATTGGCCTCAAGGAATAAGCTGTTGAGCCCAAGACTTGCGATTGCAGCGATATATTATACAAACACTGGCACCATCATGTTCTCCGGGCCTTCAATCTCCGGGCCTTCAAATGCACCTTCGGAAACAACTCACAAAACATTTGGGCTAGACAAGGAAGCAAACAATCCCAAATCCCAAGCTCTTGCCGGGGGTTATTTTATTTGTTTTGATTTGGTATCTTCCGTTTTTGTCTTCTTGCATCCTTAAACTCACCCCCCCCCTCTCCCCTCAAAAGGATTGAAGGCCTTTCACACCCCCCCGAAAGAATGGCCTTCGGATGTTGTTGATGGTGGTGCTGAAGGGGCCCGGTTTTTTTCTTTCCTAACGTTGGCTACGTTGGCGACCCCCCTCAAATTCCTCTGGCCCCCTGGTCCTCTGCACGAGCAGCCAGAAATGTTACTTGTCGCAGCATTCAAACCAGGAAGGGTAGAGCGATTGCAGTTTGTGCTGACTAGTGACAAATGCGGGCATCTTCAACGCTGCAGCATTTGGAGTCTTGCAACAAATTGAAATGCTGGAATTTGCAGCATTTGGGGCTGTGGAACAATTAGAAAAACCATAATTGGCAGCTTAACGTACAAGAGCCAAAAATGATGTGTTTTTTTCAGCGTCTGGGAACGCAAACACCCCAAAATCTTGCATTTTCAGAGCAGACAAAGCCAGGAAGGGGGGAGCCAACTTTAGCAAAAACGAGCCAGAGCCAACGTTAGGACAAAAACACCTCCGCCCGGCCTTGAAGATAAGAGTAAAGTGAGCAGTGTAGTAAGTAGCAGCGATGAAATCTACCGAAACTCAAGCCTTTCGAACGCGGGCCTGTAATGCGGCCCTTTCTGTTTGTTTAGCTTCCTGACATGTTTCAGAGAATACTTGATATTTTTAACTAGTTCAGTTCCTCAACCCCTGAAAAATCTGGGATCTCGAGGCCCCGAGAGCTCAAGTAATAGATTGCTAATCTTGACCAAAGCATCATTGTACATTTCTCTATCTATCATATGATGTTATACATCATACACATATATATATATATATATTTATTTAACGGCGACCGCCAGTGGCGCCGACCTCAGAGAAGGAGCGGTGGGGGTGGGGGCGGCCAGGGCATGCGCTGGAGCCCTTGGGGGTGGGAGGGGGCCGCATTTTGGTGTGCAGGCTCTGACTTGCTCGACCGTACCTGCGCTCCTTGTAGCCATCATTTTCGTGCAGGCCTGGCAAACCTGTTTCACCTTACCGTTACAGACTACGGTCCGAACAGGGAGGGGGCGTAGTAGGGGTGGGGGGTTGGGGGGGGTAGGGCTAGAGCGGTAGGAGGGGGGGTGGAGGTGGTGTGGTGCACACAAGACACGGAGGCGGGTAGGGGGGGAGGGGGGGGGGGAAGGCGGGGGGGAGGGAAGGGGGTGGTACTCTAGGACTTTTTGTTGTTGGGCATGTCAGACAGTGTCTTTGGGGTTGGGCACTCAGAGGCACTCCAGAAACTCTCTGGGTTTGAGCACTCCAGGGACTCGGTCACTCCAATGGTCTGGGGTTGGGCGATTGGACAATCCAGCTTTCTGGGGCTGGGGAAGTAGATTGGGCGAGGAGAAGAGTTCCTCTAAGGCCCGAATTCCCCTTAAACCTCCTTTAAAACGGAAAAGGAAAAGGCAAAGGTCGACCGGGCGAAGAGAAGAGTCCTACACCCCCTGGGTGTGTGGGGGCGTCATTTGCACGTAGTACTTACTGTCGCTGCGCGGCGAGACGGCCTAAGCCTTAAACCCTAAACCCTAAGCCCTAAACCCTAAGCCCTAAACCCTAAACCTTAAACCCTAAACCCTAAACCCTAAACCTTAAACCCTAAACCCTAAACCCTTCACCCTACACCCTACACCCTAAACCCTAAACCCTAAACCCAAACCCCAAACCCCAAGCCCTAAACCCTAAACCCGAAATCCTAAACCCTAAACCCGGTTGCTACACGTCGACAAGCCAAGTCCAAGCGAAATAAAAGAAGCTGAAGAAGCACCTCGGCAGGGGAAATTCTCGGAGAAGTTCCAGGGTTTGGGTGTTTCAGGAAGCTTCAGTGGTTTCAGGGCTCAAGTGTATTTGGGCTTAGGGCTAGGGGGCTCTGGAGTTTAAGGAGGCGGGGCCGAAAACCATCAAGGACTCTTTGTCGCCTGGGTCAAGGCCGGATCTTGGACCCAAGGCAAAGCTCCACTAACCTGCAGCGCTTAGATGAAAGGGATTGAAGCGGCTCCCACAAATCCACCACACCCCGCCCTTGCTGTGCCCTCGCTTGCTTGGTGAAACCCGAAGACTCGTCCTGAAGCCTTGAACCCTAACAGCCATCTCAACCTTAAGACTGTTCAGACCGATAGTTCTACCTGAAGTGGCGAGTACAGTTTAGGGCAAGGTCTTGGGTTGCTAGTGGATATGTAGATGGCTGTGTTCAGGAATTACGTGGCAGCATGGCTTCTCCGTCATTAGATGCATGGAGGTTCTTCTGACTTCGTGGTGAAGGGGTCTGATGTGGGTGGATGCGGACAAAGGGGGCCATCCAGTTTCTCCTTTCCTGCCCCCAAAACCTCAGAACCACCCGGATTAGGAGGCCGGAGAAGAAGAAGAAGAAGCGGAGACGCAGGAATGAGCGTCAAGCTAAACCCGACCCTAAACCCCACCGCCCACCACCAGCCACTGCCGTGCAGGACCAAAGAAAAGGCAAAGGTAGAGGAGGAAAAGGCAAAGGTCGGGGCCTGAAGTGAGATGGTTTGCGGGTGGAGCTGGAGGGTCCTTGTCGCACAAAATCAATTTTTTATTTTTGGATGAGCAGGCTTTTTCTTGAACAAATTGATTGTTTGTGGATTTTTTTATTTAAGTTGTTAAAAGAACATATTAAGAAGTTTAATGTGGTTTTTTGGCGTTTTTTTGCATCAGTGGTGGCAATGCAGCAACTTCGATATTGCGAGGCTCCATTTGAGGCCGAAATCAACAGTACGGATTCTTGGAGCTCACAGTTTTTTCAGGCTGATTGAAATCCTTTTGCTTTTTGGCAGGCATGGATGCCGAGGCGGGCATTGATATTCCGTCCATGTACCACCGGCCATTGGCCACTTTAAGTTTGTTTTTGCAGGTGGCGACAAGAACCGCCCGGCACCTTGGGACTTCAAGTTTCGCGGTGCGCGGTCTCGTTTTGGTGTTCAATCGCGCTCTCGCCTAGACACGGGCAAACGTGCGGAGATCAGAGGTGTTAGAGGTGTCCCAATTGTCGCAAACGGGACACTTCTGGCCTTGCGGAGGGTGCCAAGTCACGTCACGCGCTTGCGTCGGTCCCGCGCGCGTTCCGTGCTTGAAATCGTGCTATACTCAGCAACTGCCGAGGCGCCGTGCGCTTTTTGAAGCTGGCGTCGCTCCACGTCGCGCAAACGTGGCAGCGCATGCTTCGGTTGGCTTCACGATGCGGCAAGTTGCACCCTCACCTCGGTGCCGCGCTTTCGCCTGATCAAGAGCAGAACCGTGTTCTGGACATCTTGGAGCGGTCTTTTCTTGACTTGCTTTCAGAGTGGCTTTCCAGACAGCAAAAAATTTTTCTGACAAGGTTTCTTCGATTCCAGAAATCAATATACTATTTTGCGAAGGATTTGATGATTCGTGTCATATTTCTTCGATTCCAGAAATCAAAAATAATTGGCGAAGAATCTGATGATATTTCGTATCTTTTCTGCCAAGTCAATTTTTTTGAGATTTCTTCAATTCCAGAAATGGAAAATTTTCGTGGCAAAGAATCTGATGATGACTCATATCTTCTTTATGAAATCAAGCATAATTTGAGATTTCCAGAAAGCAACATATTATTTTGCGAAGAATATGATGATGATTCGTATCATTTCTGTCAAACCAAATTCAATTTGATATTTCGTCGATTCCAGAAATCGAAAATTAACGGCGAAATATCTGATGATATGTCGTATCTTTTCTGTCAAGCCAAATATAATTTGAGGTTTCTTCGGTTCCAGAAATCAAAATTTTTGTGGCAAAGAATCTGACGATGATTCGTATCTTTTCTATCAAATCAATCATAATATGAGATTGTATCATTTCTGCCAAACCAAATATAATTTGAGATTTCTTCGATTATCCTTTGATGGATATTTCTTCCCGGATTTCGTTTGCGAGGCCTCATTCCGAAGGATTTTTATCCTGGCGTCTGAAGGGACAAGGTGTTCCTTCATACTTCATGGGATAGTGCCACGGCGCCATATCTTGGGATGAATTAAACAATGTATTAGCC